GTATAATCTAATTCCACCTGTTACTATCAAACTGACCTGGCTCTTCTTGGTTCTTTCTTAGCAGACATAGTAAACAGATGACTTAATGGTTCAAAAACAGTTTTTAACTCCAGTTAAGTAGTCCAGAAATCTACAGATATGACATCTCAAATGGGAAAAGTATTAAAGTGAACCTATTGAAAGATTCATGAAGGTGTAAAGTATTTCTGTGAAAATCCAAAAAGCTTTGCTCAGACAGTGAGTGGAAGTAACCTCCTGAAGAGATGAGGCACTGGCATACACTCGGGTCTGCTGGGAATAACAGCGGGGGAGGAATGCAACACTCCAGATCCTCCCTGATGGCAAGCAGCATCTTCTGGTGGTTTTCTGACACTGGTAGCCAAAAGTATGATATAAAAAGCAATCAAAGCGTACTCACCGTCAGCAAAACCACCCCTGAAAATGTTATCTGAATTAGTGGTGGTGGTCCATATGTGACACAGATCTTGCAATTGTAGGCTGCCACCTATGAAAAGCTTAGGACTAGAAGTTGCCTTCTTCCTAACCCCCTCTTCAGGCTACTCTAACTTTAATCCAGCTGAGACAGAAAGAAGATGCTTCTCAAGGAAAAGGGATTTTTTTTTTTACTTATTCCTTCCACACTAATGATCTACCTTTCCTTCCCCTACCCCATCAGTTACAATGATCTACCATCTAGGAAAATGACTTCTAGTTCATTATGGTAGCTATGAGGTATCTACATGAAGTGTTGATTCCAAAAAGGAACATGTAGATGATATCTAAAGCTTAATTAATTCCTTATTTAATGCACATGTATTGAATGTGCCACACACTGGCATATCTGGTGTTAAAAGAGCTGGTCCTAGCTTATCAAGATATCAGTGTCAAGTAGAGAAGTAGTCATGTAAAAAAACAATAAATGCTAAAACAGGAATATGTGTTAGAAATGTGAAAAGGCTAGAAAATTGAGTATCTAATTTCACCCTAATGTTGTTAAGAGGACATCAAAGACTCAGGGCAAGGACTAAAGGGGCAGAGGGTTCAGTATGTACAAGACACCAAGTTATACAAACAGGACTGGGGGCATGGCTTAGAGGAACAAGAGACTGACTAGGCACAAGATGAACTCATTAAGGGCTTTTGTGTTCTGCTGGAATCAAAAAGTTTTTTCTATACAAATAGGAAGTCCCTGAAAAATTCTAAAGGGGGATGACCTTTGCATATTAGAAAGACCACTCTGGGTCAGCGCCGTGGCTCACTAGGCTAATCCTCCACCTAGTGGCGTCGGCACACTGGGTTCTAGTCCCGGTCGGGGCACCGGGTTCTTTCCTGGTTGCCCTTCTTCCAGGCCAGCTCTCTGCTGTGGCCCGGGAGTGCAGTGGAGGATGGCCCAAATGCTTGGGCCCTGCACCCCATGGGAGACCAGGAGAAGCACCTGGCTCCTGCCTTCGGATCAGCGCGGTGCGCCGGCCACAGCGCACCAGCCGTGGCGGCCATTGGAGGGTGAACCAATGGCAAAAGGAAGGCCTTTCTGTCTCTCACTATCCACTCTGCCTGTCAAAAAAAAAAAACAAAAACAAAACAAAAAAAAAAAACAACAAAAAACCACCACTCTGGCAGCAAGTTGGCTGTTGCATAAGACAAAATGCAGAAATACTGGTTAGAAGTCTATAAAGTAATCTCTATTAGCAATGATGACATTTCATTTTCTAGAAGATTCTGAAAAAAAATATATAATATAAAATCTGTAAGCATTCATCATGATAGGACTCAGAAATATTTTATGCTAGAATAATTGAGTAAAAAATAGTGGAAATATAATTAAGATACTGAAACCAAGAAGGGAAAAGAATATATACAAGGTGTGTCTCAGTGGTCATCCTTAAAAGCCTTAGCAACTGATTGAATGTGAAATCACGAGGAGTTGTAAGTCAGAGGCTACTTTGAGATTTCAAGCCTGGAGGACTTGTCACAAGATGGTTCCAAAATTCACAAATTTAGTAGAGGCAATGAGAAAGGGAAGATGATTAATTTCATTTGAAAATGCAGAGTTCAAGAAGTCAATCAAATGTGTTTGTGAGGAGCTAGAGAGAAACTAGAAAGATAGATTTGAAAAAATATGGGGGACAGAGGCTTCAAAAAGTTTGCAGAAGATGAAAAGAAGATAAGTTCATTTAAGACTTTTTGAAATCTGTGCATTCTTTTTTATTACACATCTTTCATGAACTTTCTGAACTTCCTGTCATTTGGTCAGAGGTCATATCATGGACGTTTTGGAAAAGGATTAGGGGAAGTGTGGAAGTAGAAAATGCTTGACAGGGTTGACTTTGTTTTGAATGCAGACGAAGGCAAAGGAACGGGAAGAAACTGAAAAACAAGAAGCTGGGGCAAAGCTTCATGGAAACCTGGAGAGCAGCTTCAGAAAGAAATGGGTGGTCCCAACGCCAGTTGCTGCAGGGAAGTTAGAGGGGATGGGGACATTGTAGCAATCTGTAGGTCATAGATGAAATGTTTCTGCAAGAGTAAAGGGAAGAGCCAAATTTCAGAACATTTAGTTATCCACACAACTCTGTAGACAGAGGTCAGAAAGCTAATGCAATGAATAGAAAAGTTTGAAACAGCAGCAAGAGAGTTTTTGGAGACACAAAAATCACTGAGGAGATGGAAAGGGATAGTATCAAAAACACTAAAAGGAGGAGTTAGTCTTGAAAAAGAAGAAAGCATACATTCTCCTGAAGTGGGTAAAAAGGAAAAGGAGTGAACAGGTGATGATGCAGAGTAACTGAAGTTGAGAATGATGTTTTTCAAAGAATGGTTATAAATCATTGGATCTTTACAATATTGAAGTAAAGTGTTAAAGTTTGACGGGTTGAAATTCTTGAGACAGATTCTGTAAGGAATCAAAGAAGATGCCAAAATATTATGCAATAAAGGATTCCAAGGCCCAATAGTAACTTTTTCCAGCACATTACCAAAGGGTGTCAAGTATTAGAGTCTTCCAAATCTCATGAGGTTTAAAAATATCTGATTACTAGCAGATGTATCATTGAAATACTAGGATTCCAGGTAGAGTGTACAGGGAAATGATGCCAGTAAAAGGCAGTGTAGTTCCCAGCTGCATCCCCAGGAATTCCATCTAAAGCCAGGAGAGGCCAGTGTAATGTCCCATTTCCACCTCAACTACGGTAGCTCTGTTTTTATTTGGACAACAAAGACATCCCTCAAATGCTTCTACTTGAAGGAAAAAAATCTGTTACTATTATTTGAAGGGCTGGTGTTGTGGCTTGATGATTTAAGCTGCTGCCTATGAAGCCAGCATCCCATAAGGGCGCTGATTCAAGTCCTGGCTACCCCACTTCTGATCCAGCTCCCTGCTAATGCACCTGGGAAAGCAGTGGAAGCTGGCTCAAGTCCTTGGGCCACTGCACCAACCTGGGAGACCCATTTGAAGCTCCTGGCTTCTGGCTTCAACCTGGCCCAGCCCTGGCCATTGAAGCCATTTGGAGAGAGAATCAATGGATGAAAGACTTCCTTCTCTCTGTAACACTGCCATTCACATAAATTATATATATATGTAAGTACATATATATAATATTGTTTGAAAACCACGAGAAGACAAGTTAGAGGAAATAAGACTGTCAATCATAAAGAGGAAGAAACTAGGTTGTAGGGACTGGGAAAGGTGGTTAAGAAGGGGTATGTGATGAAAAAAGTTGATTAAGAGATTGAAATCTTGGAGATCTTTCACATTTGAAGGAAGTTGTTGTCCAGCTTGGGGCTCTGCTGGCAGAGAGCTGGAACAGGGTAGAATTGTTATGATTGCCATTGAGATTCTAAGAGAACCAGAAAGCCAGCACATTAAAAGGTTGTTACCATGATGTGAGGGAAAGGAGATGCTACAGGTTAGCAGAGGTAACTAAGAGTCAAATCTTGAAATTATCAAGGAAATAGGAGGAATTCTTTAAGTACAAAATTAAGGATTTGAAGGTGATCCAAAGAAGAAATGAGTATAGAATATGGAATTTAAAATAGGTGCTGCTTGAGAGGACAGCACTACATGCAGGGAGCAATAATATGATAAACCTTTCTCTCTCCTTACCCCAAGTAGAGGGAATGAAAAAAAAATAGCTTTGAGGTATCTGATGTCATTAGGTTTCAGTTAAAGTAGAGAGGACAGAAGACACTTTTGGAAGCAAGTAACCTTATATGGAGGACCCTGCAGGCAGAGAGCTCATGTACAGAGAGCACAGATGACCAGGTCCAGTAGGCAGGGCTGAGAGAGAGAAATCCCACAGCCCAATCATAAAGGGATGGATATAAAACGTATTTCTGCCTAGAGGCTTACATAAGTTTCAGAGAAGAGAAATGAATGAATTAGGAGACCTAGTGGGAAAGCTCAAGAGCAGAAGAGAACAAATTTAGGGTAGAAGGAATGGGCAGAGGTTAGATGACTCTATCCTGCCAATGCAATGCTAGAGAATGGATGAGGATCAGCATAGCTGCACCACCCCCAGGCTAGATTTAGTAATTTCTTCAAAGCTGAAGTTCGGGTTGTTTGGAGAAAATCGATGGCGCTCAAGTGCAGATGGCTACATCACATAGCCCAACTGCCTTTTTTCTAGATAGGATTCAAACACACAAAGTGATGAAATGACTTATCTCAAGGCCTCCCAGCTGGTGCTTAGTGATAGAGCCATGGTTGGAACCCATGTAGCTTGACTCCAAGACCATTCTTTTCCTACATCCCCACAACAGTCCCTGGTTTGATGGATTAGGAGATGGAGGAGGCTGCATTGTTATTATGATTTAAGTGTGACAAATATTGGGAGATTCATATATTTTGTTGAGCTCAGGCTACACTTTTTGATAAAAAGCCAAAATTTAACCTCCTGCCATTGCCAGAGAGCTTTTGCTCAGAGATACAATCTGTTTTGGAAATGCTGGAGTTACTGGCGTTTGCTCTAAACTAATGTCATTCTTTTTCATGTTTGCTCCTCTAGTGTCTTTAGCCTCTAGCACAGTAGGACTGGCTGGGCAGGTTGTCCACACAGAAACCACAGAAGTTGTGCTGACAGCAGATCCTGTCACAGGATTTGGAATCCAACTGCAGGGCAGTGTGTTTGCCACAGAGACTCTCTCTTCTCCACCTCTGATTTCCTATATTGAAGCTGACAGCCCAGCAGAGAGGTGAGATACTTTCTTTCACAGTATTTTTTTTCTGCTCTGCATTTATGATGCTGGCTATCTTTGAACGGCTAATAAATTATGGAGCAGTGCTCAATGCAGGAAATGCAATACATAATGAACTCTCTGCCCATTAAAACAGAATTTTATGTTTTTGATCGGGTTTAAGACAATAATAAGCATGGACACTTTTATCTAGAAGACTTTGTCCAACTGGGGACTAGAGGCTATATTAATTAAAAAGGAGAAAATCCATGAAAAAAATCTAAAGTTTAAACTTTAATCTCTTTGCCATATAGAAATGATTCATCATTACTATAAATTTTTTCAGATCATATTATAACAATACCATGGTTATGAATTATTAATTACCTCTCTGGGATAGTTTAAGATTCCCTTCTTCACAATTGTAACCACAATTGTAACCTGAAAATCAACAAGAGTGCAAGACCTTGACATTTACCTAGTTTGATGCCCACAATGTTGAATCAATAAAAACAAATGCTTATGCTATTTTTCAAGAATCAAACAAGATAGATTTGGAATGCTCAACTTGAAAATTATTTATTCTATCTACAACCTCTAACATGTGATTCTAAATTAGATGTGGGGTGCTACAGATTGGAGACAGAGTGATGGCCATTAATGGAATTCCAACTGAAGACAGCACCTTTGAGGAAGCCAATCTGCTCCTCCGAGACTCTTCAGTCACGAGCAAGGTCACTCTGGAAATTGAGTTTGATGTTGCAGGTATAACGATAATCTTAAGTCGGTGACAGAGTCAGGAGTGGGCTGCATGTGAATTACATTGGTTGTGTGGCAGAGGGGAAACTATTTTTTTATATACTGAACGTGTTTTTGTTTAAGAGGTTTGGATGTCATTTTGATTTGAGTGTTCATTAAAATGTTATTTTGTGTTATTCATTAAAATGTCACCACAAGAACAACTGAAAATAAATGTGACAAATTGAATAAGTAATAGCCACTGTAGAGGTGATTTTTTTTAAAAAAAATCACATAGCCTTTATTCTTTCTGACTTTCTTTTATATGCTAGAGAAACTATATTCTTCAGTCACAGAGATGGGAAAAGTCTCTCTGACACTTCTCATTGCAAAAAAAAAAAAATGAAAGTTCTGTAGGGAGCAATGAAAATTCATTAGGTGGATTTATACAATCCCAGTAGGTAAGTATTTGCCCTTTAATGTTCAAGAGAAATTGCACCAGACATTTGTTAAAAAAAAAAAAAAAAACAAGGAAGATGTTATTCAAGAATGTTGCAATAGGGGTCAAGACTATTACCTTAGGGAAGAGAGATGGAACTCAATTCCAAATATAACCAGGACAGGTAAGAATTTATATATAGCATTTAGAGAGGTCAGGGCATCATTAGATGAAAAATTACCAAGAGAAACTTGGTTAGATATCAAGGTTGGGAGAATTCTAGCTAAATTGGCTCAGAATGATTCTTGTCAAAACTCCCAGGCACAGGGCTTGGGCAAGGAAAAAGCCTAATTAATCAAGAAGTGGTCTTGGAGAAGCCTAACTGAAGTTTGGTCATGGAGTGAGTTCTAGTCAGTAGCAGGCAGGCATGTGGAGCTAAGAAAGTTGTCTTCTTGCAGTGAAATGTTACCTCACAGAATCAAGAACCTCTCCTAGTCAGTAAAAATAGGTTTTGGGACTCAGGAATCACATTATTCCAACAAATATTTGCATAGTATTTACAAAGCTAGTCCACAAAGTTTGTGGAAAAGTGGAGTTAAAGGATAATCGTATTTCAGTGCAGTGATTGTGAATGCCATGCAGAGTATTTTCACAATATGCATTTCCGTGAACTTTTTGAAGACCCTTCATACTATGTTACAGTTACTCCACAAGACTGACAAACAAACCATGTCTACCTGAAGCTTATTACAGCATAGAAAGTTAGAGGATAGAAAGTTACAGAATGACTGTGAGGTAAGGGGAGGGTAATAGGATAGTTCTTTACAGAGGTGACATTTGAACAGAGATGGTAATATTGAAATGGAGCCATCCATATGAGGTTCTAGAAAGAGAGCATTTTAGTATAAAAACCCTGAGCCAGAATAATAACCACAGTGGAGAAACAACAAAAAGAGCTCTTGCTGGAGCATGGTAGGGAACTGGGGGTTGGAATTAGAATTGGAGATGAGGTTAGAGAGATTCAAAGGGGCCTGTTAATTCAATGTCCTGTTAAGGCATTTAGATTATTATATTACAGGGGTGATGGAACCATAGAGTGTTTTCCACAGGGGAGTGAATGATGATTGTTTTCAGAGAGTGCCTTGTGAAATGGGGCAAAATAGCAGAAGCAGAAAAAGCAGAAGATTGCTGCAGTTGGATGGAAAATAAAGAATGGTGGCTTGACAAAGTGGCAGTGCTAGAGGTGACAGAGAATGAGATTTAGGGTGTGGCTTGAGACAGGACTAATAGCACTTGCTTATGGATTAGATATGGAAGATATGGGCAAGGGAAAATCATGGCTGACTCCTGAGGTGTTGGGGGTGAGCAGATGGATAGACAGCAATATCTTTAACTCACAAGAAGACTAGAAAAGCAGAAATGTAGGGATAGTAGAAGGATTTCTATTTTGGACATGAGCTAGAAAATTTACTTCGAGTATTAGAGAAAAGATACAAGCAAATCCATTGCTTAATTCAAAAGACAATTATAGTGCACTGGTTACTAAGTGCTAGGCACTGTGCTTTGTTCAGATCACTAAAGAAGAAATAGAAAGGATCAATATTCTCAAGGAGCTCAGAGCTGATTAGACAAGAAGAACTGCTGAAAGATGAGCATAGACTTGCTGAAGTAGTGTTGCTACTGGAATGCAGAAGGAGGTTCCCAGGAGATTATAAGCAACACTTTCTGAAGCCTGGGATTGGGAGCTTAACTAGAAAACAAGACCAAGGAGTAATCAATACATCAATGATTATGAAAGTCATTGGAAAAAAACGAAGACGACTTAGGAAAGAGTGGCAATAAGAAGGAGGCCAAGAAGGGGACTTGCCTGAAGAAAAGATGCTAGCTACAAAGATAAAGAAGACTCAGTAGAAGTGGGAGGAGGGGGCAGCATTATGGCACAGAATGTTAAGCCCCAGCATCCCATTTCAGAGCACTGATTAGAATGGCTGTTCCAATTCCGATATCATTCCATCCTAATGTTCCTGGAAAAACAGCAAGAGATGGCCAAGTAATTGGGCCCCTGTCACCTATGTGGGAGATTCAGATGGAGTTCCTGTCTCCTGGCTTCTACCAGGCCCAGCCCTGCCCATTGCAGACATCTGGGGAGTGCAAGAAATCGATGAACGTCACCACGGGCTGCTGTTTTCAGAACTTCTACTGCATTTAGTTATATACACTTTGCTCTATTTTATATTACCTATCTTCAAATCTGTAGTTCTCAACCAGGGTCAATTTGGCCTCCAGGGGACATTTGCCAAGGTCAAGAAATTTAGGTGTAGAATTAGGAGATGGAACAACAGAAATGGGGATTTAAAGTTCAGAGTGTGTTGCTTTGTTTTGTTGTTTGGTTTTGTTAATGTTGGAGAAACTTACCATGTTTGGGACTTGAAATGAAGAAGAGAAGATAACATTGCTGGGATCAGGCACCCAAAGGAACAATACGGGGAGGTTCTCTAGAACGTACACAACTAGTCTAGGACAGATTCTTATGGATTCAAGGAAAGGATGTGAGAATATAAATGTATATTTAGCTGTGTGGTTCATAGGAGAGCTGTAAAGAAAGAGTAGAAAAGTCAGCACCTTGGGGAGGTAAAAGAATGATGGTTGAGAATAGCAAATGAGAGGAATGAGAAAACCAACTGAAGCATGTAAAGGAATTTTGAAGCTAAGTGGTGAACCACGCAGAGTCTGGTTTAGAGAATTCAACCTCTATGGTGAAGTAGGTTTATTTTTGTACTGATCAAGAGCAGAGAACATAGAGGGTTGAACCAGAGACTCCCAGTTAAAGTTCAACAGAAAAACTTGAGTTGAAGAAGTTCAAATTGTTGCTAGGAGAACAGACGGATAATTATAATAGCATAAAAGTTATCACAGTAATATTTATCAAGTACTTATGCTGTGGCCTGTGTGTGTACTACATCATTTAATCCATAAAACAATTATAGAAGAAGTGATTATTTAAAAAAAAAAAGATTTATTTATTTATTTGAAAGGCAGAGTTACAGAGAGGCAGGAAGAGAGAGACGTCTTCCATCTACTGGTTGACTCCCCAAGTGGCCGCAACAGCTGGAGCTGTGTTGATCTGAAGCCAGGAACCAGGAGCTTCTTCCAGGTTTCCCACATGGGTGCAGGTGCCCAAGGACTTGGGCCATCTTCTGCTGATTTCCCAGGCCATAGCAGAGAGCTGGATCAGAAGTGGAGCAGTGGGAACTTGAACCAACATCCATATTGGGTGCCAGCACTGCAGGCAGCAGCTTTATAGGCTACACCACAGCACCGGCCTCAGAACTGACTATTTTCATGTCCTCAGAAAATGGAGGCACACATAGTGAATGGTAGGACTGGAATTTTAACCTAGGCAAGCTGACTCCCAAAGCCATACCCTAACTACCATTTAGCATTGCCTGTGTTTGGAAGACTCTCAGTTGGTGATTGATGGGAATCAATAAAGAATCATCTAGTAGACTGAGAGGAAGGGAGGGCTTAAGAAATTCTGTAGGTTTTCAGGAAGAAAACTGGGTACAGTGAGAGAAAGGAGGTAAGAGAGCTAATGGCTAGGAGATTGAAGTCAAAGCATCATATTAAAGTTTGAAGTTTCAGAAAAGGTTAAGTAAAGCTCAGGGTAATGAGTTGCCTGAGTGGGAGAAAGGTAAAAGCCATTCAACCAGGGGAAATCTGGGAATTGAGAATGCAGAGAGAGAAGGACCATCCCCATAGTGAAATTTCTCAGAAGGATGGGATAAAATTATGTGAAAATATTTAAAAGTTACTTTCATTAGGAATTGGGATAACAGGGCTTAGAATGAAGAGGAAGTATGAAATACTGCATTTGACATGCTAAGCACAATGCCATCAGAGGATCTGAGCAGTAGCTCTGTCCTCTGCATCCTGGACAGCTCTTCTCTGATATGTTTGGTGGTTTGCTCCCTTCATTTAGGTCTTTGCTCAAATTGCATTTGCTCTGAGAAGACTTCCCTGACCCTCCATCATTTTGTACCCTCTTACCCCAGTTTATAGCTCTTCTCAGCCCTTCTTGAGCTCTGATTATTATGTTGTAGGTTTATTTGTTTACTTTCTTCTCCAATACAAAAGCCTGTGATGTCACAGACTTTGTACCTTTAGCTCACAAAAAGCCCCTTAGCACCCAAAAATAGTGCTTGGAATACAAGAGGCTGTCCTGTCTGACTTGGTGAAGAATGGAAGGAAGGAAGGAAGGAAGGAAGGAAGGAAGGAAGGAAGGAAGGAAGGAAGGAAGGGAGGGAGGAAGGGAGGATGAGAGGATGGGAGGATGGGAGGATGGGAGGATGGGAGGATGGGAGGGAGGATGGGAGGGAGGGAGGGAGGGAGGATGGGAGGATGGGAATTGGCTCTCCTGAAGGACTGGTATCAGAAACTTTAGTCTGCAGCAAGAACCAATATGGTTCCTGCTTTCTTCGGAGGCTTTTGGTCTCTCAGTGCTGTTGCTTTGTGCAAAAATTCTGTTTGTCTCTGTAGGCAAACTTTCTCTGACTTTTTATTGTATGTGGTCGCTGCTCCATCATTGCTA